ATAGATATATAGTTATATTCTCTTAATGAATAGAGGGATTTGTTCTAATAGTGTTTGTAAATAGGATATCATGTCTGCATCTTGTACAGCAAATGACCACTAGGAAGAGAGTATGCAATGTGTTAATTATTGAAACTGTCCTACCACTTTGGTTTGAAACTGTCTCATTGCTATTTGTTTCTCAATAAAATTATGGAAAAAAATAAAAATAAAAAAAAAAAAACCAGCTCCTCTCACATAGGGCTGTGAATTGTGGCTCTGTGGCATTAAAGGAAAATACAAGAAAAAAATCCTTTCCACTCACAGCAGGAAAATCTAACTTTCAATCGGAATCGACCAACGCATGCTGCTCTCCATACGGAGCACACTGAACAAGATGCGTTCCAAGACCGCGTCCACCTGCAGACATCCGAATGCACTTGCGCACACTCAGGTGGTCCAAGCCAGTCCTCCACAGGAGAGCGGAGACAATCAAAATACAAGGTGACTATGAAACGTGTGAGGCTTCTGCTAGCGAGACACACAGTTTTACAGTGAGCTGTCCATCTGTCCATCTGCTTGCCTGCCTGCCTGCGACAGTCCTGCTCTGCTGCCCAGCCTGACCTTGAACTCCCAGGTGCAAGCAGTTCTCCAGCTCGGCCTCCTGGGTAGCTGGGCCTCCGGGTGCTGTCCTTCTGTACCGGGCACAGTGGGTTTTACACCCGCATCCCCCCAAGTGAGAAACGGGCTGTACAGCAACAAGCGTGCTTATAACATCACCAGGCAAGAGGAATTTTCAGCGCCATTCCACTCTGTGGGACCGTGGTAATTCACAGGCTCCGTCAGGAGTGGAAATGCTTTTAAGCAGTGTAAGTCTCTCTCGCTGCCAGAGAGCTGGGGATGGACCAACATCAGCCAAGGAGAGCGGCCCTTCTCAGCATTGTCTTCTCTGCAACCACCACCACGCACCTGCTTGCAGCCACTATCTTCTTCCCCACTGGAACAATCTCACCCGGTATGTCAAGTCACCCTTGGAAATGGCTGGTTTTACGTGTCTACTTGGACAGAGCACAGTGACCAGATATTTGGTCAAAGCACTGTAGATGCTTCTGCAAAGCTATTTTTCCAGATGAGATTAACATTTCATTCAGAAGATTACTCTCCACCATGGGAGGGGGGCACTCGGTCAGTTAAAATGCTTAACAGAAAATGTCTT